TAGCCATTCTTGTAAGCCGCTCTGAGCCCCAGGGGAGTGGCGGCATATAAGTTTGAATAATAAATAAATAAAATAAAGACACAATCAAAACCCTCCCAGCAGATGACCATCCAGCCTGTGGGTAAAGGAGATTCTTCTGGACACCCAGGCAGCATATTACACTGCCAAATATCTCCAATTGTCAGGAGGTTCTTCCAAATGTTTAGGTAGCATCTCTGTTCCTGCCATTTGAATCCATTGGCCTTTAATCTCTAGAGCAGCAGAAAAAGAAACAGGAAAACCAGCTGCTGCTGAGAAAGTTAGAAGGAAATGAGAGCAAACTTAAGCACTGCTTCTGAGACTCTTTCTCCTCTTGGTTTCCTCCTGCCAGAAGTCTTCCCGCAACAGATGGAAGGAGTCAAACTCATTGTAAACAAATCCTTCAGTAGCCATTTTCAGGTATGTACCTTTGTTGCTGTTCACTATGTTAGCATTTTGGGGCCAAGTTGTATAAACTATAGATGTTAGGCTACTCTGATGGAGGGGCAGATTAGGAGTAAGTGGTTTATTAGGCATGTGCAATCCATGCTTCTAAATCAGGGGTCTTCAAACTTTTTAAGCAGAGGGCCAAGTCACAGTCCCTCAAACTATTGGAGGGCCGGATTATAATTTGAAAAAGACACGAATGAATTCCTATGCACACTGCATATATCTTATTTGTAGTGCAAAAACACTTAAAAACAATACAATAATGAAAATGAAGAATAACTTTAACAAATATAAATTTATTAGTATTTCAATGGGAAGTGTGGGCCTGCTTTTGGCTGATGAGATAGGATTGTTGTTGTTGTTGTTGTGTGCTTTCAAGTCGTTTCAGACTTAGGTTGACCCTGAGCGAGGGCCGGGTAAATGACCTAGGAGGGCCGTATCCGGCCCCTGGGCCGTAGTTTGAGGATCCCTGTTCTAAATTGTTCTAACACACTTACAAAACTAAAACTCTGGTGGTGAAAACTAGGGGGCGCTGGTGCTTTGCTTCTATAGTGTTCCTAAAATTCTTGGTGGTGAAAATTTCAGAACTCTAACAAAACTTTCAAAAATTTCATTATTATTTCATTTATTTTTATAATATAAATATAAATGAAATAATAATATAATATTTATATTATTTATAATTGGTTCTGTCATGATTTTTATTATAATAATATAATATTTACATTATTTATAATTGGTTCTGTCACGAGTTTTATGACAGAACCAATTAGTAACTGTCATTTATAATGAAATTTTGAAAATTTTGTTAGAGTTCTGAAATTGTTCTGCCTAGTATTTATCATGTCAGAATTGAATTGAGGGTACAGTTATAATGTATTTAAGAAAACAGAAACCAAGTTAAAAACTTGGCATTATACTAGATTTTCTTTGACCAGAAGCTGGCCACTTGGAGTGCCTCTGGTGTTGCTTTGAGAAGGTCCCCCGATGTGCATGTGGCGGGGTTCAAGCTGCATTTGTAGTAGGTGGTCTGTGGTTTGCTCTTCTCCGCATTCGCATGTCATGGACTCAATTTTGTGGCCTCATTTCTTAAGGTTGGCTCTGCATCTCGTGGTGCCTTCCAAGTCACCCAGTCTTCACCCAGGAGGGAGATTCTCATCCAGTCTCAGCCACGGATTGAGGTTTCAAGTTTTAGCCTGCCACTTTTGGACTCTCACTTGCTGAGGTGTTCCTGCAAGTATCTCTGTAGCTCTTAGAAAGCTATTTCTTGACTTAAGACATTGGCATGGTGGCGGATATATGAACAGATGATGGGCCGGAGATGCCACTGCCTTGGTCCTTTCATTACTGAGATCCGGATTGATGTCAGGTGGTGTAATACTGGCTAAACAGTGTATTTTCTCCAATGGTGTGGGTGTATACATCCTGTGATAATGCAGCATGTCTCGTTAAGAGCCACATCCACTGTTTCAGTGTGGTGAGATGTATTCCACACTGAGCATGCGTACTCAGCAGCAGAATAGCAAAACACAAGGGTAGATGTCTTCATTGTGTCTGGTTGTGATCCCCAGGTTGTGTCAGTCAGCTTTTGTATCATATCATTTCTAGCACACAATATTGCGTGCTATTTGAGCAGTGCTTCTTATAAGTCAGAGCACGGTCCAAAGTGACTCCCAGGTATTTGAGTGTGCTGCAATGCTCCAGTGAGATTCCTTCCCAGGTAATCCTCAGAGCTTGAGATGCTTGTCTGTTCTAAATAAATAAATAAATAAATAAATAAATAAATAAATTTAAGGTGAAAAGTACATGTCTGCATTTTAGATGGATTAAGAATTTGCTGGTTTTTTCCTGAAATAGGCAGTAAGAGCACTGAAAGCTTTGGAGAGCGTCTTTTTGAGCGGTGATGGCACAATCATCAGCATAGATGAAGATCTATGTCCCTTCTGGCAGTGGCTGGTCCTTTGTGTAAATGTTAAACATTGATGGAGCAAGCATGCTTCCCTGAGGCAGGCCGTTCTTCTATTTTCACCATCTGCTCCTCTGGCCTTTGAACTCAACAAAAAAGCTCCTGTTTTGTAGCAGATTTCCTGAAGTGGGTAAGGTGGTAGACCTTTGTGATATTACCGGCATATATTTTTCTCAGAAGAAGGCAATGATCTGTAAGCAGCTATAGCATAATGCCAAGTTTAAAAAAAACGTTGTTTGTGTTCTTAAATGCATTTTAACTGTACCCTCAATTTGCTTCTGACACGATAAATAAATAAATAGTTGCTGACAGGTCTATGAAGACCAAACAAACAATTTGATAACACTTGTGAACCATTTATTAGTTTCACGTGTAAAAGCAACGGTAAATGTAAACCACAAGAAGTCCAAGAGAGATTAATAAACACATGACAATAAGTAAAGGGAAAACTGAATGATATAGATTAGATAGAATTGACAATGCTGTATTTTTTGTAATGTTGTGTTAGTAATGGGAGGGTTGGAGGCATAGATCCGGGAATGGAAGATGCTTTAAGACCATTGTATTATGTTTATTTATTTATTTATGACATTTATATGCCGCCTTTCTCACCCTGAAGGGGACTCAGAGCAACTTACAGGATACACACACACACACACACACACAATATATTATATTATTAGCATAGTACAATATCAGTATTGTTGTTCATTTGTTCAGTCGTTTCCAACTCTTTGTGACCTCATGGACCAGCCCACGCCAGAGCTCCCTGTTGGCCGTCACCACCCCCTTCAAGGTCAATTCAGTCACTTCAAGGATGCCATCCATCCATCTTGCCCTTGGTCGGCCCCTCTTCCTTTTTCCTTCCATTTCCCCCAGCATCATTGTCTTCTCCAAGCTTTCCTGTCTTCTCATGATGTGGCCAAAGTACTTCAACTTTGTCTCTAATATTTACTATCCTTCCCTCCAATGAGCAGTCAGGCTTTATTTCCTGAAGTATGGACTGGTTGGATCTTCTCGCAGTCCAAGGCACTCTCAGAACTTTCCTCCAACACCACAGCTCAAAAGCATCTCTCTTCCTCCACTCAGCCTTCCTTATGGTCCAGCTCTCACATCCGTAGATGATGATGGGGAATATCATTGCTTTAACTATGTGGATCTTGGTTGCCAGTGTGATGTCTCTGTCTTCACTATTTTGTTGAGATTGGTCATTGCTCTCCTCCCAAGAAGTAAATGCCTTCTGATTTCCTGACTGCAGTCTGCGTCTGCAGTCATCTTTGCACCTAGAAATACAAACCCTGTCACGGCCTCCACGTTTTCTCCCTCTATTTCCCAGTTATCAGTCATTCTTATTGCCATAATCCTGGTTTTTTTTATGTTTAGCTGCAACCCAGCTTTTGCGCTTTCTTCTTTCACCTTGATTAGAAGGCTCCTCGGCTCCTCCTTGCTTTCGCCCATCAAAGTGGTGTCATCTGCATATCTAAGGTTGTTAATGTTTCTTCCAGCAATTTTTACCCCAGCCTTGCATTCGTCAAGCCTTGCGCATCGCGTGATGTGTTCTGCATGCAAGTTGAATAGGTTGGGTGAGAGGATACAACCCTGCTGTATGCCTTTTCCAATCTTGAACCAGTCTGTTGTTCCATGGTCAGTTCTGACTGTTGCGACTTGGTCCTTGTACAGATTCCTCAGGAGAGAGACAAGGTGATTTGGTATCCCCATTCCACCAAATACTTGCCACAATTTATTATGATCCACACAGTCAAAGGCTTTAGAATAGTCAATGAAACAGAAAGAGATGTTTTTCTGAAACTCCCTGCCTTTCTCCATTCTCCAGCATCCGGATATTGGCAATCTGGTCTCTCGTTCCTCTGCCTTTTCTGAACCCAGCTTGAACATCTGGCCACTCTCTCTCCATGTCTTGCTGGAGTCTTCCTTGCAGGATCTTGAGCATTCCCTTACTGGCGTGAGAAATAAGGGCCACTGTATGAAAGTTTGAACAGTCTTTAGCATTTCCCTTTTTTTGGTATGGGGATATAAGTTGATTTCTTCCAGTCTGATGGCCACTCTTGTGTTTTCCATATTTGCTGGCATATGACATGCATCACCTTGACAGCATCATCTTTCAAGATTTTAAACAGTTCAGCTGGGAAAGGTATTATATATTGCTATACATTACATATATTGTACTATACCACTACATTGTAATATTATTAAAAATATTACATGTAGTATAAAATATATAATTATAATATCATAGTATTATTAGTATGATATTGTATTACATTATAATGTTATACTTACTTTTACTTAGGCGATCCCTCGTTGTCTGAGTAGGATAGTCTTCCAGGATAGTATTCTTGTGGGTCCGTATGTGGCTGTGGA